GTGCTCTCCCATGGCCCCAAGACTAAAACAAAATCTTTTTTCTTTGTTTGTTTGCATTTCTACTAAGCATTCTTTAGTATACGTTTATGATTATACTTATGGTCAATATTTTCCAAAAGAAAAACCAGGATACAACTAGACAATTGTCACTGTACTAAAGGAACATTAGGCTAGAAATCTGAAATCAAGACAGTTCCGATTCCTATATGTGAGATTATAGTTGCTCACTGGGTACACATGTGCATCTTTCCACCCTAGAGGACTTAAAAGTTACACTTTACTCATCTTTGCATCCTTCACAGTTAAGAAGGTAAGAGAATAAATAATCCATATAAATACTATTAACTACTTTCTTCCTGAACTGGAGTCAATAAAACATGGCTTCCCAGTTTTATTTCTATGCTCCAAGAACTCCATTGATGTGGGCTTGAGGAAAGAAAGGAATAAAGCCAAAGCCTTGCAACTTGTTACTACCAGGGCCTCATAATGCTAATTTTGTAAAGAATTACACTTAAGGCCAAAATAATTCTTGTGCCAGGCACTGAGCTTAATGATATTTGTAACATACATATGTTAAAAACATGCATTGTTTTCATAATCTCCCAGAATTACATGAACTACATACGATTAATCTCCATTTTAATTATGAAGATAATCCAAAATAGCTTGTTCTCATTTGTAACATGACAGCATTAATCCTCTTAAACTTGTTTACTCATTTATATTTATGGTGCTAAGGAATGGACATCATTCATTCATTCATGGTGCTGAGGGTTGGACCCAGGGTCCAAGAATGCTAAGCATGTGCTATACCACTAAGCCATTCCCCTAACCCCCCTGTCTCTCTTTTTATTTGGTGGTACTAGGAATTAACTGAATCCTGGCATATTCTACTATTGAGCTATATCCCCAGATCCTTTATTTTTTTATTTTAAGACAGGATCTTACAAGTTGCTCAGCCTGTCCTTGATCTTGCAGTCCTCGTGCCTGATTCCTGAGTAAATGGGATTACCGGCATGCACCACCATGCCTGATTTGTTACATATTTTTAATGAGATACATATAAAACATCTACAACTCCTATGCAAGTTATCTTTGATATGAATGTTAGCTATTACTACTACTGTTACTAGATAAGCATGGGAAGAAAGGCATGCAAACAGGTAAACCATAAGGAAGATTGTAATAACAGTCACAATGGGAACAACCAAAAGGCTGTAGAAATGGAAACACCAGAAGCATAAATCAATGAATTTCAGTGATTCCAGGTGTTCAAAGGTCTTCAACTTTCCTTTCATAGTATGTTATTAGTCACTTCTGGAT